CTCCTCCTCCTCCTCCTCCTCCTCCTCCTCCTCCTCTTCCTCCCCCATCCGCCAGGAGAAGCACATCGGGGAGGAGGGAGATGGCAGGGATGAGGATGGGGGGGATGCGGACGAGGAGGACAGGCCTCGGCCACGAGTAGGCTCCCCGACCTGGATGGAAGGAGCGGCCCGAAAACCAGCGCCCCTCCTAGAAGTCCAAAGTGGTCCTGATGCGTGCGCCGTCGTCACTGTAGGGGAGAAAACCTCGCCGAGAGTACGCTCTGAGGTCGAGGAGCAATTCCCCGGAGAAGAGAAGCTCCCTGTGCCTCCTCCCCTTGCCGATGCTCATTAGCCTCCCTCTCCTCCACCTCCCTCATCCCTTGTCCTCAAAAGTAACTCCTGCATTACATGTTTGTTCCCTTTTCCCTCCCCATAGTTCCCACGGGCGTGTCACAGGACGTGGAGCCTTTGCCACAATGAAGAACTGCTCCATGTCGCACCCCCAGACGTGTCGGTGCGGCGGGCTGGGCGTCGCCTCAGACGTCCTCCCCCTTTCTGAGCTCGGCTTCACGAATGGAGGGCGGGTCAAATTCACAGTGGGGCTCTCGCCTTGGCGCCGCGCATATGTGTCTCAAAAGTGCGCAGTAGTTTCAAGGATGAAGGGCGGGCCTTTTCCAAAATGTTGCTCTCGCCCTCCAAAATGTGTCTCTCGCTCCGCAGATTCGTTCTTACGAATGTGCAACAAGGGCAGTGGTTCGTATGGCCCAACAACAGAGTTCGGGCAAGATTTAGATTATACCACGACGCAACAGTTGCGTGATTTGCTGTGTTGACGTCCTTGGAACGTTCTAGTATGATTAAGGACTGTCAGGACGCACAAGGCACGTGGATTCGCGGCGCGAGTCCCAGGGATTATGTGTTGGCACGAGTGAGGATTCTCAAAGGGGGCACGACCCGCAATGAAAACACAGTATTGTAGGGACCAATGAAGAGGAATTTAGAGGGAGGGTTCATTGCAACATCGTGGATGCGTCTTGGGTTTACACTGGTCCTCCTTCTCCCTCCTCCGCCTCCTCCTCTCCCTCCCTTCATCCATCCCCATCCATCCATCCAACCTCTCGCCACTTCTTCCAGCTTTCCCGTGCAGGCTGCTCGGAAGACGGCGAAAGCAGATTGGGTCTCGAACCTCCTGGATGGCAGGAAGTCAAAGCAGTAAGCCGTCGATGGTTGAGGTAGGACAAAAGGGCGCAGACTGAGTGGCCCCAGCATCTAAGACTCGCACCCACCTTCAGCGAGCGACCTGTAACATCGCCACTCGCTCCATCAACCCACCCAGAGCGCGGGCGGGGCGCCCCCTGGTCCATGTACCTTGGCACGTTGTTCACCTTGAGGCTGGTCACCTGCGCGCGCGGGGTGGCCAGAGCAGCGCCGCCGCCGCAGCGGTCGGGGGGCCGTGTGGGCAAGGAGGGCTGGAAAGGGCAGCCCGCCCTCCTGTTCCCCCCGCCCTCCTTCCCGTCCGTCCCGCCGTGCCCCTTCCCCCGCGTGACCAACTCGCTCGTCCGCCCCCTCGCTCCCCCCCCCCTCGCTCCCTCCCTCCCTGCGCCTGCCTTCTCTTCTCTTCTTGCCTTCTCCTGCCTTCGCCCTCACTCCCTCGCCCTCCGCCACTCCTGATTAGAGCCGTTCCCCGTGCATCAACTATATCCTCCGCTCTCGCTCTGTCTAACTCTCTCTCTCTCTCTCACTCTCTCGCTCTCTCGTTCCCTCTCCCTCCTCCTCCTCCTCCTCCTCCTCCTCCTCCTCCTCATCATCATCATCATCATCATCATCATCATCCTCCCCTTCCCCCTCTCCCTCACTCTCTCTCTCGGAGGGGGGTAGCAGGCGTCCCAAGCCAGCACGCGGGCAGCAGGAGGGCCCTCGACGGGGACAGCCTGCCGCGGGCACCAGATGCAAAACCACTACGGCGCCACGATGTAGCACTCTTCTTGTGGTGCCCAAAGGGTCGAAACAAAACCTTACAACCCACAAAATCTTACAACCCACAAACTCGCGATATCGTCCTCCTCCTCCTGCTGCTCCTCTCTCCGGGATCGCGATCTCGTCATCCTCCTCCTCCTCCTCCTCCTCCTCCTCCTCCTCCTCCTCCTCCTCCTCCTCCTCCTCCTCCTCCTCCTCCTCCTCCTCCTCCTCCTCCTCATTACAACCCTTAGGTGCCCCGTAGAGAAAACACCGCTCTGCGAGCTGCCCTCATGCATACAATTGCTGGCGAGGCCCCCGCCTGAGGCGAGGGCCTCTCTCACTCACTCACTCACTCTCTTTCTCTGTCTCTCTTTCTTCTCTCTCTCTCCTCTCTTTCTCTCTTTCTCTCTCTTCTCTCTTTCCTTCTCTCTCTCTCTCTCTTTCTCTCTCTTTCTCACTCCCTCTCACTCCTCTCTCTCTCTCTCGGAGGAGGAGGAGGAGGAGGAGGAGGAGGAGGAGGGGGGAAGTCCACACGCACAGGGGCCCAACGAGGCACAGGCAAGGTCGGCTCGCGGCGGGCCCCCGTGCGAAACCACCACCGCTCTCTCCCTCTCTCCCTCTCTCCCTCCCTCTCTCTCTCCTTCTCTCTCCTCTCTCTCGCTCTCTCCCTCTCTCTCTCCCTCTCCCTCTCTCTCCCTCTCTCCTCTGTCACTCTCCCTCCTCCCTCCCTCCCACACTCCTCTCTCTCTCCTTCCCTTTCTCTCCTCCCTCTCTCTCCTCTCTCTTCCTTCTCTTCCTCTCTCTCTCTCTCTCTCCCTCCCTCCCTCCCTCCCTCCCTCCCTCTCTCTCTTGTGCCACTTTCTCTTCACGCTGCTGCAGCCACAGGCACCAAAGGAGGGGGGCAGATGGGCCAGTGAGGACAGCGCAATGCGCTAAGTGACGCTCCAGCGCTCAGCGCTCTGTGATGCAACAGCATCGCGTGCTGACTGACGGGACAGCGCCACGCGCCATGTGGGCACCCGCCATTGGACGCACTGCACTCGGCCGAGCCTGCCAGGAGCCCACGAAGGTGGCGACAGCAGCGCAGCTCGCAGCCCCCGAGTGGGCCGCGAGGTCTCAAATAATCTGCGTTGCCCTCCACTCCGCCGTACCTCCAGGAAGCCCACGAAAGTGGCGACAACTGCGCAGCTCGCAGCCCCCGAGGGGGCCACGAGGTCTCAAATGGTCTGAGTTGCCATGCATTCCGCCGTGCCCCCCAGGAACCCAAGGCAGTGTCGACAGTTGCGCAGTTCGCAGCCCCCGAGGGACGCCCAGGATGCAGGAGGAGGTTGGAGGTAGGAGGTAGAAGGACGAGAGGCCGGCCAGAGGGAGGGCTGGAAAAGCTCTGCCCCAGCGAGGTGTGGGAGATGCGCGGGAGGAGCAGAGAAGCCGCGGCAGCCCGCGGAGGCGGGGCGGGGGCACCCCCAGGGTGGCGGTGCCAGCCGCGGAGCTGCTGCCGGGCTCCTGGCCGTGGCGGCGAGGCTCGTGGGCGCTGCGACCGCCAGCGGCCGCGTCCCTCTGGGCGCCTCCTGCCGAGGAAGGGGCGCAGGGGAACGGGAGGGCGCGGAGAGGAGAGGCGGGGGGCAATTCGTGGGAGGTCTTCGCTGGAATGGTGATGGTGAAGGGCGGTTCGGCCAGAGGTAAGGGCCACTCCACCAGACTCGGCCGAATGGGGCCCAGGATGAAGCTGGATCAAACCAGATCTAGCGGGACTGAGCCGGATTGAACCAGATTGAGCCAGGGTAGCCCAGATCAAACAAGTTGTCGACCGCGAGGGTACCAGCGCCGTTACAGAGTGTAACCTCCCAGGAGTTGCACCCCAGAGAGAAGAAAGCCCTGACGCCCTTCGCCACGAAGACGTCGAGACGACCAGCGCTTCCCCTACTTGGGCCTCAAAGGAGCCCCAACGGCCCATCCCGGGCCCCTGGGGCACTCGGAAAGCGGTCGGGAAGGGGACCCGGTCTCAGGGAAGAGGTCGCGGGCTCCAGGGGTCGTCCGAGGCCCGAGTCCCCGTCCGCAGACAGAGGACACTGGGGGGTTCTGGGCTCTGACGAGGGAAGCACGGCACGAGCAAGCCGGAAGATTACTGGTATAGGAACATCCATGGCGAACAGCCGACGTCTTGCCAGATGGGCGACGATCACACACGGGTCTTAAGCGAAACGCCACAGCGTTCTTACAAGGCGGCTTACGCTGGCCGCCAGCGCGGCACACTGCATTGGAGACGAGGGTGCTTAAGCGCGACCTTACGCGGGCAGCTTACGCGCGAATATCGGCGTAGGAGAACCAGCGTGTTTTTGCGCCACTCATATGGAACCTTGGTTGAGGAGCGAAGCCCCTGTTGTAGACGAGCGCGTTCCACTACTCGCAAAGTAACTACTCGCAAATGGCCTGGATCCCCCGCAGAGAACATACGATAAATTGCACCAAAGCGGACATGTGTTTTTCGGACGCTTGCGAGTAGGCACTTTGCGAGTAGTGAAACGCGCTCGGTGATGTTGCGCCGCAGCTGCGCCCAGGCGCACGAGGAGTGCCATTAGGCGCACCACCGCGGAACCCGAGGAGCATCGAGTCCCTTGTCCAAAAGCAGAGCGGGCAGTATCCCAAGTGTTGGGTGCAAAGGGAGGTAAAGGCTAGCCCTTGACTTCGCATCTACTCACAGGCTGCAACTGCAGCATGCCTCTACGACCTCCGTTCCTCCCCCCTCGCTCCTGCGAGAAAACGCGCCACGTATTCAAACGCGCTCGTGCTGTACGTGCGCTCCTCAGGAGCAACCTGGGCACTGACCCCATCGCCTCCCCCCGCCAGGGCTCTCGCAGGGACACACGAATGGTAGCCCAGCGCACCACAGCCAGCAACAGCCCACCATACGTGGAGCACAAACGCCACTCCTGCGCGGTGCACCCACTCCCCGACCAGGAGTTAGACGCGTACACCATGAATTCCCAGAGGAAGTCGTCTTCGCTTCTGGGGGGAGTGAATTGGTGTATTGGAAGCGGGGTGCACTGCCCCTGGGAGGATGGCGATGGCGGTATCCTACAGGTATCTGGGCCAACGCTGAGGGTTTAAAATTGCCTGCGCGCAGTATCCCACAGTGAAGCACAAGTGTTGCGAAACCTTGTCAGCATCCCTCGCTGTTTGACTTTAATTTGTCGCAAGAAACTGCAGAGGGGATCCTGTTGCGGTGCAAATCTCTCTGGGCTCGCTCAATGATCAACTAGTCAATGTCCACTGGCCCCTTCGACCAGGCGACTCACTTTCGAACAGCGAAGGTCCGCGACCGAGCCCCCTGGCACACACTGGAGCCCCACCAGCGCCCAGGGCGAGGTTGAGAGAGAGAGAGAGAAGAAAAAAAAAAAAAGGAAAAAACAAAAAAAAAACTTGCGTTCCCTCATCGGGGAGGGGGTGGGGCTCCCCTACCTCCTCCCATGGGGCTGGACGGGCGGGGGGGTGGGGGGCGACGAGTTGGAACGTCCAAGATGGCCGAAGGTGGCTCCAAGATGGCCTCATATAGGCCAGGGTGGTCTCCAAGATGGCACAAAAGAGAGCCCAAAATGGCTCAACATGGTGTCCAACATACCTCGAAGAGACCTGGATACCGCCACGAGACGGCTCCAAGTGGCACCAGAGGCTCCCAAGATCGCCTCCGAGACGCCCAAACCCTTCAGGTACCATGAGATGTGGAAGGATGCTCAGTGCCTCGCAGTTTCGCTCCCCATTACCTTATGAGGCCCCAATATGGCCCCAAGATCGACTGAGAGTCCCCAGAAGGACGAAAGCCTCCAGCTGGGCCCCAGGAGCGCCTCAGAGCGCTCGAAATGCGCTCCGAATGCCCCCTGACGATTGTTTTGGCTCCAGCGGGGATGGCAAATTCGTGCCGCCTCATTGTCTGATCGATGTCCTCCAAGATGGCGCCTGGAGGGCTCCGAAGTTCCCCGACATGACCCAAACACAGCCCAAAGAGACCACGAATGCTTCCAGAATGGCCTCAAGAAGGCTCCAAGAGGGCTCCCAGACGCCTCCGGGACGCTCAGAAGATGGCTCCCCGGGCCCCAACAGAGCCCAAAGAGACCCCAAAGGCAAAGTTCACCAACGCTGGCCTCTTCACTGTACGATAAGATGGCCATAGACGTCACTCTTCCTGACAACTCCCCTGGCTGGTGGGGATACTTTTTTGGTCGCAGCCGCAGGCGAGAGCGCAAGCGGCGAGTCGTAAGTCCGGGGCGCGGGCCTACGAATTAAAACAGGTGCAAGCTAGAGCGGCGTAACCTGAACAATTAGCTGCCTAAGGCAAGTGGGGATACTTTTTCGGTCGCGGCCACGAGCGAAGAGCGCACGCGGCGAACAGGGTGTCCGGGCCGACGGGCAAGCCTAATTACCTACAAGACGCGCCGCTAGCCGGCCAGCCCACTCACAAAGCAGCCGCGGGGCTGCGGGGAAGCTGACGGCAGGCGGCATCCTGGGAAGCTCGGGCACGCGCAGTGGACAAAATGTCGAGAAATTCGGTGCCTGCCGTGAGGCATGACCCACACAGCGACATGACGTGTACCGGGGCAGACGTGTCCGTCATACTGGGTGGGGGCAGCCGCGAAGCCCGATGAGCGAGTCGCCAGCGGGGCGCCAGGCTCAATCCGTCCCAACGACGTGTGCTGGCTAGGGGAGCTGAGCTGCCGACGAACGTGGAACGACGCGACCTGCCAGGAGCGGGGGGATGAGCCCGGGGTGCTGCTGCTGCTGCGAAAGGCTGAACCACTCCGTTGCGATCACAGCACCCAAAAGTCCACCAGACAGTGCACGTGGTAGGCCCGGACGACTGCGAGCCGGCCCCGTGGACAACGGCACAGCGCCAGGCCAGGTGGGCTAGAGGAGAGGGCCAGGCAGGCGTGGTGAGCATCGCCAGCGAGGCAGGGGGATCCAGTGGGGTGCTGCACCGGTGGTGAGGCAGCTGCCGCCTGAAGTACGCCAAAGGCCACCGGGGGCCGGCCTTATCCTCCAAGTACACAAAGCTGGCTGTACCTCCAGGGGCGGTGTGTGGCATGTGTCCAAGCAAGTGGGAGAAGCATTGCAATTGGGTGGGGCGACCTGGGGGAAGCTGCGCTGTAGCAGCCGCGAGGGCCGACGGCCACCATGGGCCGACCATGTCCGCCGCTTCCGCCCTTCCCCGCGGGACTCGGGGTCGCCGTTAACCACACACCACGTGGGCCTCCAGGGTCGCAGCTAACCGCCGCTGAAAGTGAGGAACCGTACCACGGACAGCGGGGGTCAAGGGCGGCCCCTGGGGAGGGGGGCCGAAGCCAACGGCGTCAGTCGGCACGCCTGGCGAGCCACGGGGGCCAAGGGCGGGGGACACCCGCCTGGCCCGAGAGGGGCCCGAGGGGACAGGCGAGGAGAAGCACCTCAACGCCCCTCGAACGGGCCCCAGATCTGTCTGTCAAAGTGTGTTTGTTTGTTTTTTATATTTAAAAAAATGGGGATACGCGAAGCGTCCAGAACAGCTGTGTGCCCATGTGCTGCTGAATTTCTGTTGATGTCTAAGGCCACTCCCGTCTACCCGCGCCAAAAACATGATCTAGAGTTCACGCAATTGCACAGCCCCTACGGCAAGGCATGGCACGTCACGAACAGTACGGCACCACGGATCACGAGTTACCCCGCTCCCACCGCTCCTTCGTGCAATTTCGAGAACACCCTCAAGGCCCTCGGTGTTTTGGGTCATTGACACCGAATGCGTGCACATACCAGGCCGAGATGGCATGATTTACACACTGGTTGTTCGGGGGGGGGGGGGCAACGCCCAACAGCAGGTGCTGCTTGAAGTCGTCAACAACTGCTGCTTTGGCAGACGGCGCTCGCCAACGAAGCGGACAGCGCCGCGGCGAGACTGGACGTGAAGCGGACCCCGCTCCAGACAAACGGGGACTGCGGTCGGTCGTCCTTCCCGGTCGTGCTCTCCCGTTTCGGGCAACCGAGTATCAGATCACCAGAAGGGGGAGACGAGACGACACGAGTCCACAGAATCCACATCAGCGAGCCTGAGAGACTAACTTGCCTGGGACTCTGGAAGTGGGTAGCCTCGACCAAAATAATAGCGGCTGCCTGCACTCCTCGAGTGAGGCACTGGCCTGTGGGCACCTCCGAGGCACGTAACGACGCAAAAGAGAGGGGGAGGGGGAGATAGAGGTACGGGCGAAGGGGAGGGGGGAGGAAATGACAGCGAAGGAGGAGGACGACGACGACGACGACGCCGACGACTCCAAGGACGACGCAGACCCCGACGCCGACGCCGACGACGCCGACGACGCCGACGCCGACGCCGCCGCCGCCGCCGCCGCCGACGACGACGACGACGACGCGCGGGGCTCCTGGAGCACCCTTCCGTGACCCTTTCGCCGCCGGGGTCGGGACCTTGCGGCGATTCGCTGGCAGCGGGCCGACAGGCGAGAAGGGGCTGCCGAGAAGAGGAGGGAGCAGGGAAGCCCAGGAGGCGGAGGGGGGGGGTATAGGGGGGACGACGGGTGGAGGAGGGAGGAGGCCGAGAGCCTCAGGAGAAGCACATCGGGGAGGAGGGAGATGACAGCTGTCGTGGGGATGCCCAATAGATTGCCACGAACACCATCCTGCGATACCCACCTTTCAGGGCCCCCGCCGGTCAGAAAAGGTATTCATGTAGATTTGTTGCGCTCCGAGACAAGAATGAGGATGGGGAGGAGGGGGATACAGCCGTCGTGCTACCAGGAGGAACGCGGAAGAAGGAGCGAGCGAGCCTCGCCGAGTGTACGCGCTGAGGTCGAGGAGGGATTCTCCAGAGGAGGGAAGTTCCCTTTGCCTCCTCCCCTTCCCAATGCTCCTTAGCCTCCCTCTCCTCCTCGCCCTCCCCCTTCCCCCTTCCCCCTTCCCCCTCCCCCTCCTCCCTCCTCCTCCTCTCCTCCCTCCTCCTCCTCCTCCTCCTCCTCCTCCTCCTCCCTCTCTCTCCTCCTCATCATCCTCCTCCTCCTCCTCCTCCTCCTCCCTCCCTCCCTCCCTCCCTCCCTCCCTCCCTCCCTCCCTCCCCCGAGGAGGGGGAGGGAAAGCAGGGGAAGGCAAGCGAGGGGAGACGGGGAAGGAGGAACAGGAGAACGATGGCCACGGGCAGGACGAGGGCACGGGCGCGGAGGAGGAGGAGGAGGAGGAGGAGGAGGAGGAGGAGGACGCAGAGAGAAGGATCAGGACGAGGACGAGGAGGAGGAGGAGTGGAGGCGGAAGAGGAAGACGATAAGACGACGAGAGAGAATACGGGAGGGGCGCGGGAGACCGTGGGAGAGGGAGCGGGGCAGGGCATCGGGCGCGGCGCGGCGCCCGGGCCCGAGGGGCGCTGGCCAACCAGCCTGGCGTGGGCACTGGGCCGGCCCTCCTCGGAAGCTGCAGCGGGGACCCTGGCAGGCAGAGAAGAGGGAAGCAGCTGGAGGGAGGGGGGGGGGGACGACGAGACGACGACCACGACAGGAGGGGTTCAGGGGGGCGTCCCCGAGAGGTTCAGTGGGTCGGGGGCTGCTCCTCGCGCTCTGGGGGCGGGCAGCGGCAGAAGAGGGAAGCAGCCGGAGGGGGGGGGGGACGAGACGACGACCACGACAGGAGGGGTTTCGGGGGGCATCCCCGAGAGGTTCCGTGGGTCGGGGGCTTCTCCTCCCGCTCTGGGGGCGGGCAGCGGCACCAGTGCCCCGCGACCGACCGCGCACGGGAGGTCGGGCCGTCTCGCCCGCGCCTTCCCTCGGGCACGGTTCGGTCGCCTCGGACATGCCCACGAAGGGCGGCGGGGGCAGGAGAGCGCGTGGGAAGAGGGGGAAGAGCATGCTCAGAGCAGGCAGTCCATCAGCGTCGCGCCCATCCCCCAGGCCTGGCAGTGGGCGGGAGGGCGTGGTGGAGGCGGGGCTCGGCTGGGGGCCGTCTTGGATGGGGCAGAGCAGGGGACTGGCGCGCGGACTCGGGGGGCGCGGGCGCCAACGACGGGGGGAGGGTCTGAAGTGGCTGATCTGGCAGGAGTCGGACCTCACCCCTCCCCCACTTCACAGTCATTGCCCGACCGCTGGCCGAGCGCGGGAGAGCGCGCAGCGCGCGCCCCCTCAGACGAGGCCGCGCGGGACGCTCTGCGGTCAGAGAACTCCAGGCACCCGTGCTCCTCCGTCCCTCCCTCACGCCTCACTCCCTCGACAGTCCCCATCCGTTCTCCCCCCCTCTGCTGTCCTCTGCTGTTGCCTCTCCCCTGTTCCCCCGTGCTTCCCTCTGCTTCTCCCTCGCACCTGCTTCCTCCCCCCTCCCAACCCCTCCCTCATCCTTCCCTCGCATCCATCGCTTACTCCATGTGTCCCTGCTGCAGGATCTGGAGCGGCAGGAGTGAGGAGGACGAGGGTGAGGGCGAGAAGGAAGGAGAAAAGCACGACGACGAACACGACGACGGCAACGACGACGTTCTGTCTCGACACCAGCGCGCGCAGAGCGGCTGAGGCGGCGGGCCCCAGGGCTGTCGGGGCCGACTGGCGACGCCCACGAGACGGCGCCGTAGCCTGGGCCGGGCGAGACGCGGGACGGCGTCGACGACGGCGGCGGCGGCGGTGGCAGCGGGGGCGCCGACGACAAGCACGACCATGGCCACAACGATGACCGCGGCTAGGACAACGAGGCTGAAGTGAGAGCGGGTCTGAGCATGAGTGAGTCTAAGTATGTCTGGCCGAGTGTGCGTTCGAGCTTGAGCGTGAGCGAGTCTCTGTATGACTGGGCGGTCGTGGGTGACCGGGTGCGGGTGGCTCTGAGTACGGCTCGTCTGATTATAGTGGGCCTGCCTGAAACAGACTCTGAAAACGAGCGCCTGAGTATGATTCAGTGTGAGCGTTCGATGGCGTGCCCGGGGGAGAAGTGAGAAGGGGCGGGCCTTCCCACAAGACTCGAAGTTTCCCCGCCTTCTGAAAAGTTGTCTAAGCCTTCCCCGGAGATACAGAAAACTTATCAGAAGGCGCGAGGGCTTCTGAGAAGCCCCGCCGGCCTTCTGAGAAGGCCTTCTCCTTCACACTTCACCCCCTCACTCGCCGCCGAGGTGTGAGTGGGTCGGAGCTAAACGGATGAGCAAGAGTGAAAACGAGTGTGACTGGATCCTTACAGGAATGGCTGAGCATAAGCGGCCTAGAACTAGTGTGACTCCATTTGATGAGTCTGAGCATATATGCATCTGAATAAGGGTGTGAGGGAGTCTACGTATGAGTGGGTCAGCGCGTGGGTGAGTGTGAGCGTTGATTCTGAGTTAGTGCATATCAGTGAGTCTTCGTGTGAGCGGGTACAGCCATAAGTGGGTCAGAGGATGAGTCAATCTGAATACACTTGACTTGAATTGTACATGAATCTGGGAATCTCAAAAAGCGGACACTCTAACATGAGCAAGCCCACCAATGAATCATTCGTTCATTGAAGCAGTGCGTAAATTGTGTAGGGTTCTCGGAACGATCAAGCTGAGAAAACTATCATATCTGAAAATGAATACTTCGGGTCTGTGCAACCCAAGCAGTATGCGCTCCTCCGTCAATCAGGAAGCTCAAGTCAGAATGAGGGGGCCGAACGGTCATTCGTTTGTCCCTGGGTGCGTGACAGAGGTGAGAATATGTGGTGAGGATTATGCTTGTTGCATTGTTGTTGTTGGTGTTGCTGTTCATGGTGGTGTTGTTGTTGTTGCTAGTGTTGTTGATGATGTTGTTGTTGTCGTTGTCGGTGTCGTTGTTTGTTTTGCTGTTGTTGGTGGTGGTGTTGGTGTTGTTGTTGTTGTTGCTGGTAATGTTGTTGGTGTTGGTGTTGTTGGTGTTGTTGTAGATGTTACTGCTGGTGCTGGTGGTGGTGCTGCTGTTGGTGATGGTGGTGTTGTTCATGTTGCTAGTGTTGGTGTTGTTGGTGTTGGTGCTGTTGCTGCTGTTGTTGCTGCTGTTGTTGGTGGTGGTGTGAATGGTGTTGTTGTTGTTGGTAGTATTGTTATTGTTGGTGCTGTTATTGGTGTTGTTGTTGTTGTTGTTGTTGTTGTGTTGATGTTGTTTGTTGTCGTCGTCTCACCCGCGACACACCCGCGACCCACCCCGCAACCCACCCCGCGGCCCACCCCGCGACCCAACCCGCGACCCAACCCGCGACCCACCCCGAGACCCACCCCGCGACCCAACCGCGACCCACCCGCGACCCTCCCCGCGACCCACCCGCGACCCACCCGCGACCCACCCCGCGACCCACCCCGCGACCCACCCGCGACCCATCCCGCGACCCACCCGCAACCCACCCGCGACCCACCTGCGACCGATCCACATTGGTTTGAAGAAAAATCGGCGCCTGCGGCGGGCTCGCTGTATACTTTGTGAAAGTTTGGCGCCTCCGGCGGGCTTCTCCAGAGTCTCGCATACTGCCGACGTCCCCACCGCCCCCTCACTCTTATCCACATCTGCGGTGTGCTACGGATGATACCCCTGAGGTCCCACTATGCTTGCACGCGGTGGTCACGAGACTGTGAAGAGAAACACGTCCACACCCCCTAAAAAAGCAACTTGAAAAGTTCCACCAAACTGGGCGCGAGCATGCTGGCACGTGGTAATCATTAGCTGTCATGAGTTCCCCATCTGCGTCCCCAGGCGGGCGTTCCACCAGAGAGGCCCAGCCAATATGAGCGCTGACGGGCACATCAAGCCCACGTGGTCATCCCCTATGGGAGGCCCGAATCCGATGCCTGCTGGCTCCAAGAACGAGTCAGAGTAGAAGTGAGGCCGAATGGTAACTGAGTGTGAGCGAATTTGAATGCGTCCAATATGAGCAACCATGAGTGGATATGAGTATGTGTAAGACCGTCTGTATAACAGCGGCACATGATCAAGATATATGATGCTGTGACTTGAGCCTGTCAGGCCGCTGGGTGATTGAATACAAGAGCGACCAAGTACGGAAAAATACGAGAGGGACCACAAAGGGAGTGAGTGAATGAGAAAGCGAGGTGAGCGGCGTGACACAAACAACAATTCCCTCGTATGCCTAACACCCTGGGTGACAAAATGTCGTCGCCCTCCCTCTCTTCCCTCTTTCCCCTCCTCCGATTCCACTTCCTCCTCATCCTCCTCCTGAACCTCCCTCCCCCTCCTCCGACCACTCCACCCTCCTGATTGCCCCCTCCCCCCTCCTCCCAGCGCCGACTCCAACCTCCTCTGTCTTTTCCCCCCATCATCCCCCTCATCCTCTGCTCCCCCCATCGCCCTCCCCACTTCCCCCTCGCCCGCCAATGACGACGATAACCACCACCACGACAACCGCCCGACCACCACGACGACGACCGACACACGACCACGACGTCGGTCGACGCTCGCCGACGACAATGACGCCGACGGCCGCCGCCGACGCCAGCCGACGCCGCAGCCGACGACGACGACGACGAAGACGACGACGACGACGACGACGACGACGACGACGAAAAAGACGACCGCCGACGACTGGCCGATCGACGATCGCCGCGCACCCCCGCCCGGCTAGCGGCGCGCCGCTGCTGCTCCCGCTGGACGGAGGGCGGCGCCCAGCGCGGTCGCGGCGAGGATCCTGCGCGGGCGGGGCGGGGCGCCACCGCCGCCCCCCCGCTGAGGAGGGGCGGGAGCTCTCGACGACGACGACGACGACGACGACAAGGACAACGACGACGACGACGACGACGACGACGACGACGACGCGAGGCGAGGCGACTCGATGCCGCCGTCCAGCGACGACGGCGACGACGCGTCGACGACGATACGCTCGACGACGATGCGCTCGACGACGACGACGACGACGACGACGACGACGACGACGACGACGACGACGACGACGACGACGGCGGCGGCGGCGGCGGCGGCGGCCTACCTGGCCCACTCACCGTCCCACTTCTTAACGTCAACTTGCGCAGCCCAAGGCTCACGGCGAAACACGGCAGCGCACACGGCACCGCCGACAGTGGCACCGGCGCTCCACGGGACTGGGTTGGCGGAGCAAGCGGTCCCACTCGTGATCCAAATGTGGCGCGCCAGGCAGGGCCAGCAACGGGTGGAGCAAGGACAGCAAGAAGGAAGGAGCAGAGAAAGTAGGATGGATCAGGGGGGGCCGCCGGAAAGGGGGAGGGTTCAGGCGAGGCCTCCGTCTGAGAAAACCGCACTCTAGATATCACGGTATGAAGACACAAAGGCCAGACGAGGATGAACTCTATTTGACAGAACTCACGAATGCATGGCCGAAAGTCCCAAAGAGGGCACGAGGTGGCGGAGGATCAAAACTGCACATGTTTGGAAAACGACTGCGACAGTTGATAATGCCAACGCAGCAGAGGTATCTGTCGCCGTGCCCAGAGACACAAAGTTGAGTGTACCCATGACCCTTCGAGCTCTTTGCTGAAGATTGCAAGACTGCCGAGCTCATGGCGATTAGGGCACAAAACGTGTGGGAGGTGGGCCGAGCTGGGCGCGGTGGGGCCGTCCAGCACCTCCACTGGGACGGCAGGTGGAGCTCCCTGGGGGGCAGGAAATGTGCACAAGGTCTGCCGAAATCTGCGCGGCGCCGCCATGAAGACGCACCCACTGGGGCCGTAGGTGGGGCCCCCTGGGGGGGCGTGCGCCGAAAGGAGCACAGCAGAAGCAGCATGGGCGGCAGGCATGGGAGGAGGGCGGAAGGAGGAAGAGGATGGAGGAGGCTAGAGCAGGATCGAGGAGGATGGACGAGGAGAAGGAGGAGGAGGAGGAGGGGGAAGAGGGGCACGAAGATGGAGGAGGATGGCAGAAGAGGCGGAGGAGGTGAGAAGGAAGGAGGCGCGCGGAGCTACGGGTTCAAAACGAGGACCCAAAACCCCAGGAAGGTTGGGACAAAAATTTGAAAACCATTTGGCGCCTCCCCGTGTCCCGTGCCACTTCGGTTGGGACGCTTGACAGATTCTCGCTCCTCTCTCTCAGCTTAACTCGACCTCCTGGAGAGAGCGTGATCCAACGGCGCTTTACTGAAGTAAATTCCCCCCCTCTTCCTCTGGAACCCGAGCATCCCCCACCCCCTTCGAAAATCCCCCCCCAGAAAACCGGGGAGGGGTCACTACCGGTTCGACCCCCCCCCCCCAGAAAACCGCCGGGGGGGTCACTATCGGTTCGAACCCCCCCGCCTTCCAGAAAACGGGGTGGGGTCACTACTGGTTCGAACCCCCCACCCTCCCAGAAAACGGGAGGAGTCACCACCAGTTCGACCCCCTCCCCTCCAGAAAATGGGAGGCGGTCACTACCGCTTCGACCCCCCCCCCACTCACCGCCGACAAACGACTCCGAGGTCCCAACCACCGTCCGCACCACATCCCCCACTAATGTCCACAGCACAATTGTCCCCACCACCACTGTCTCCACTGTTCCCACCACCGTCCCCAGTGCCCCCCCCAGTGCCCCCATCACTGCCGCACTGTCCCCACTGTCCCCACCACTGTTCCCACCACGGTCCCGCTCCCCACTTTCCCCAGTGTCCACACTGTCCCACTGTCCCACTGTCCCCGCCGCTGCCCCACTCAGCTGTCCCTCTGTTCCCACCACTGTCCCCACTGTCCCCACCACTGTCCCCACTGTACCTGTCCCCACTGTTCCACCGCCGTCCCCCGCAACCGCCCTCACTACTGTCCCCACCACCACTGTCCCCACCACTGTCCCACTGTCCCCACAACTGCCCCACTGTCCCCACACCGCTGTCCCCACCACCACCGTCCCCACCACCACCGTCCCCACCACTGTCCCACTGTCCCCACCACTGTCCCACTGTCCCCACTCGTCCCACCGTTGTCCCCGCTGTCCCCACCAGTGCCCCCACCAGTGTCTCACTGTCCCCACTCTCCCCACCATTGTCCCACCACGGTCCCGCTCTCCCCATTGTCCCCACTGTCCCCACCACTGTCCCACTCTCCATTGTCCCCATTGTCCCCATTGTCCCCACTGTCCCCACTGTTCCCACCACTGTCTCACTGTCCCCACTGTTCCCGCCGCTGTCCCACTGTGCTGTCCCACCGTCCCCACTGTCCCCACCACTGTCCCACTGTCCCCGCTGTCCCCACCACTCTCCCCAATGTACTACTGTCCCACCACCGTCCTCACCACCGCCTTCACAACTGTCCCCACCACTACCGTCCCAACCACTGTCCCACTGTCCCCACTGTCCCCACCACTGTCCCGATGTCCCCTCACCACTGTCCCCACCACCACCGTCCCCACCACTATCCCACTGTAAGCACCACTGTCCCACTGTCCCCACACCAGTCCCCACCACCACCGTCCCCACCACGATCCCAGTATCCCCACCACTGTCCAACTGCCCCGAGGAGCGAGAATCGTTTGCCAGCGGCGAGGGAGGGGGGTTCGAACCGGTAGTGACCTCCACCCCTTTTCATGATGGACTGGAGGGGGGAGCGGTTAGAAGCGGTAGTGACCCCCCCCGGTTTTCGAGGGGGGGGGACGGGTTGGGAACCCCCAGTGAGCCCCCCCCCAGTTTTCGGCCAGCAGCGGTAGAACACGCTCTTGCTGATAATTAAACGCAATCAAAATATCACGATTGCCTCGCATTTGGACCCTGAACCTAACACGTGATCCGACAGGTTCCGCAATTTCTTCTGACATGACTGACGGCCAAATTCATGTTCGAATGGTACAAGATGGCCCCTCCGATTTCTGCAACGCGCGCACGTTTACTATCTGCGCACACTGCTCGTGTGCCAGCTACAGAGTGGTAACACTAAGCAAACACGAATTGTTTCCGATCATGAATAAGACCGTGAACGTCTCTGGATCCGTACATGTCTGGTTGTGTTATGAGGTCCGCTGCGAAAAGGACGTGACGTAACCGTAAAGAGTAATCAACGGTCTGGTAGTCGCCGCTGTGGAATGATTGTCTACATGCTTCACCATCCGCAATGGTGTCCACTAAAAATCGCGCGTGCTATGTTGGCATCGCTCCGCTACGATGCAAAATCCCGAAAAGCACTTGGCACAGGAGTGGGTGACACAGGAGTGGGTTTGTCTTCAGCCAGGATGCGGCGGAACAAGGTAGACATCGCCTGAAAGATAACATGTGAGACGTGGACCAAACAGCAAGGGGAAGCCACATTCCCCAGGCGCTGCAGGCCGTTCACTCCAATACCTCCTTCTTACTCCTCTTCCTGGGCTTCTTTCTTGCTCCTGACACTTCCACATCCCACTCCTCCTCCTCCTCCTCCTCCTCCTCCTCCTCCTCATCCTCCTGCAAACTTCCAGGAAGGAATTGCACGGATCGACGATGTTTGGCGAACAGCGGGGCTCAGCGCACGCTCCACTTGATAACTTGAGCCAGACGGCGTCAATAACGACACCCGTCTGACTAATTGACTCACTAGCTCGTCCTGCTCACCTAGTCAGAACGCTATATTCACAATCCTCCTCCTCCTCCACCTCCTCCTCCTCCTCCTCCTCCTCCTCCTCCTCATCCGGGGTGTGCATGACCCACCTTCCCGAATTCTTCATCACCTCCTCCTCCTCCTCCTCCTCCTCCTCATCATCATCATCATCATCATCATCATCATCATCATCATCATCATCATCATCATCATCCTCATCCAACACCCTCCAACCCTCTCCACACTCACACCTATTCTCGACCACCTCTTGCTCCCTCCTCTGCCCAGCTGCTCCAACCCCTGCTCCTCTTGCTGCTGCTGCTGCTGCTGCTGCTGCCGCTGCCCCTCCACTTCGCTACTCTCTCTTGTAGCAATTGTGGCTGGAGCCATTTTTGGCTCAAGCGGCCACCTGCGGGGACGCCCGCACCCGCTCCTGGAGGTGGCTGGCGCAGCCTGGGGTACCAGGAGTCAGCCCCGCACAACCCGACCTGCGCACCGTCTTGGGACCGACTGAGCCGAGTCAATCCAGCCCCGGGCCAGTCAGGCTTTGCAGGATCCGGCAGGACCCTGCACCCGAGCCCAGGTCGGTGCAACCCTGGCCCTGCAGGATCCTGCAAGATCCGGCGCTCTGACTGACCCCCGTTTGCGTTGGCCCCCGCCGCTTGAGCCCCGAGCCGTCCCGCCCTCCGCCCTTCCGGTTGCGAAGGCCTCGCTGGCGGCGCGCCCCACGTGCGGGGCAGCCTGCTTGGAGCGGAGCTCGTTGCCGCGGCGGCGGCAGGCGAGTTCGATGAGCGCTGCGTCCAGACACGAGGCGGCGACAGACAAGTTGGCAATGCCGAGTACAGCACACAGCTTCGACGGCAGGTGCAAAGAAGCTGAGGAGTGGACGCGTGCTGCCCCGAGGTAGAGTGCGAGGAAAGGCGAGCACCCCTGAGAAGTAGCTCATTCACGACGCCTCCAACCTTCAGGAGCTCGATAAGACAAAGAAGTCCAGGGAAAAGACCATCCGCTGCAAGCCAGAAGCCTTGACTAAGCTATGGGACAAGAAGGACGTGCCAGAGGCTTCCACCAAGAAGAACACCATCCACAGAGGGATCGTAGGTAATGGCCACGTGCAGGGCGAGAGGGTTGGCGACGTCAGCAATGATGACCGGAGAAGAGCGTCACGCTGTAGAGGGCAGCATCGACTAGGTGAATGAAAAGTGTCTGGCGAAGGGACACCATGCCAGCGACACATCGAACGCGAGATCTTCCTGGAAGACCATTAGCAGGGGAAGCTCGTTGCCGAGGTCAAGCTCAGCAGGTGAAGAGTCTGATATGACGTCTGCGGACCTGGTGAAGACTGTCACAGTCAAAGAAGGATCCCAGAACATCGATACCAACAGAAGCCGGATCGTCGTTGACGACCACAGCAGGGCGAGACGATCGGCAGGGGCAAAGCATACCATGAAAAGAATGACACGGGTAAGGTCAGCATCGGCGCGCAGAATGCCACAGCTGAGGTAGAATGTAGAATACCAGGCATCTGGCAAAACCGACGGCGGGACCGCCACGGACGACTACATGCAGGGCGATATGGTTGACGAGGTCAGCGCAGCTTACCAAGTGAAGAGCTCGATGGCCGTCAAGAACGTCATCGTCCAGCGAGAATCCGAGCATGGGGCTCAGGGCGCTCTCGAAGCTGTCGATGTCTCGATAGAGAGAAGCTGGCCTCCGCGGGGGCGAGGCGAGGCGAGGCGAGCGCCGCCTCCGCTCCGCTCCGCGGGCCGCAGCCCCTCGGAGAGAAGCCGTCCACTCGCGCAGGGCGCAGGGCCCTCGCGAGGAAGCTCGAGAGGTGGGTACGAACTCGAGCGCCTCGGTCCCAGCGCAGCCGATCACGCGGAGCTCTTCTCCAGCGTTGCGCGCCTCGATATGTGCAGGGCCGGACCTTCTCCCGCATGCTGGCGGAGAAGGGGGCGCGCCCACCGAGGGCAAGGCCTCGACGGGGAAGGCCAGGCAGGGCAAGAAGGAGTCCAGTCAACCGGTATAGTGAGGATGTGCGATAAGGGTGCAAGTGCCTTCGGCGCGGCCAACGAAAGTGGACGAGGATGGACCGACGGAGCAAGGAAGCCAAGGTACCCTTGGAGAGACTGTTCATCCTTACCAAGCGGGTTGACTGCAGGGCCACGTCTTCTGGGCGGGCCCCGGTCGGAAGGTGGCACCCCCACCCCCACTCCTCAGGGGAGGGGCGCCCCCCCAGCACAGGAGAGGAGCCACGCCGGCAAGCTCCGTCCGCGCTCGGGCGCCGCCTCGGGCAGCAGGCGACCGTCCCCCCGGCCTCCTCCACCACTCCTCCACTCTCCCCCCTCCTGTGCTCCCGCCTCCCCAAGGGGGGCCTCTCGGACCGAGTGGCGCCGTGACGCTGCGGCACTGGACCCCCGCGACAGGTGGTGAGCTACCCCCCCAGCCATTCCTGAGTGGGAGGTTAGGGGGGCCACATGCGAAACCTACCCCTACCCCCCACGATTTCTGAGGGGGAGGGTGGGGTTCACTTCGTTCGGGAGTTCCCAAGCAAAGTGAACCCCACCCTTCCCCTCAGAAATCGTGGGGGGTAGGGGTAGGGTTCGCATGTGGCCCCCTAGAGGTGTCGCTAAAGGGGCCGTGCCCGCGGCCCCACCAAAAACGCTTACCCAAGGCACCACCACCACCACCTCCACCACCTCGTGCGCCTCCCCGCTCCGTGGCCACGGTCCTGGCCCCGCCCTCCCCCCCCCCTCGGGGAGCCGGGAGGGCCGCCGCCCCCAGGCGGGGGCCCCCCTCCTGCTCCTGCGTCTCGGCGCTGGAGTTCCTGCCGCGGCGCGGGCCGAGCGGGCGCGGGCGCGGGAGGGGAGGAGGCGGGGGAAGGGCGGGGCGAGGGGGGGCGGGCGGGGGTCTCCCTGTTGCAGGGTTCTCCTCCTCCGCCTCCTCCTCCATCGTGGAGGTTCCCCGCATTTTTTCATATAAGATGCCATCGGGAGTGCCTGCTTGTGTGCTCGAATCGCACTACTGAAGGAAGCCCATCATTTCCACAGAAGGGCCAGGCCCTGGCCCTGGGCCCAGCGCGGTGGCAAGCGGCCGGCCAGTGGACCGAAGGGGGCGGGGGGGGCGGCGGCAGGCGCTGCAGCAGGATCGGCACCGGGAGGCCCGAGCTGGGCCCCGGGGGAGCCAACAGCTGCCCGAGATGAGGCGTTGGGCGCGGGTTGTGGGGGGGTGCGATGCGTGGGGGGAGGGAGAAAGAGAGAGAGAGAGAGAGAGAGAGAAAAAAAAAAAAAAAAAGTGCCCATCTCGGGCCCTCACGGGCCCCTTTGGGGCCCTAAAGGGCCCTTTCGGCAGCCCTCGCTTCCCCCCCCCCCATGAATATCGCCACCCGATTGCGCGCCTCCCAAGAGATGAAGCGTCATGGAAAACAAGTCCCGGGGCAGGGCCCAGAGGCTCCGAGGCCTAGCGGCCCGAAACGGTCGGATCGTAGCTCTGGGGGTCTGGGGAGGCACGGGAGGAGAGGAGGAGGAGGAGGAGGAGGAGGAGGAGGAGGAGGAGGAGCAGAAGGAGGAGGAATGGAGAGACGGAGGAGGATGAGGAGGAGGAGGAGGAGGAGGAGGAGGAGGAATGGGGAGGAGGAGGAGGAGGAGGAGGAATGGGAAGGAGGAGGAGGAGGAGGAGGAGGAGGAGTGAGAAACAGACGTGGAGAAAACTGACATCGGAATCAGAATCGGAACCGATGCGAAGTATCACAGCAACCTGACTCAATGTCCGTGGGCCACGGACCCCTTGGCTGACCATCCACAGACGTGGGGGGACGGGAAGAAGGAACTGGAGGTGGCATCGGGTTCTCGGTTTCTCGTCTGTGGCGCCCTGGGCGCGCCCAGGGCAGAGGATTGCAGGAGGGCCGCGCCGGGCAGCAGCTCTGGCTATATAGAGTCTCTCATCCGTCAGCCGCTGTCAGGCGGCCAGCGCCGCCTGACGCAGCGCAGTGAAGGCCCTCCATCGGCCAAGGTTGCTGGGTGGATGTGATGGCGGCTGCAAACCGACACCAGTGGCCACGCAGAGACGCTCGCGCAAACGTCCTCCACCGCGAGCTTGAGCAGCAACACGACTCTGCTCCTCATCGAACACGTGGCTGGAACCGAGGAAGAAGCCAAGGTCGTCGTCTTAGGGGATCCGCTCCGAATGCTAGACGCTATAGGAACCCATGGCCACCACTATGCTAGGGTTGTCGTTCTGGTGGCCCTGTCCGCGATCGTGTGTTTGAGCAGCTGCGAGTGAGTGTCTCCATCGATCACGCACGCGGCGTCGTGGTGAGCACGCCACGGAGAGGGCCTCAGGTCGGCCCAAGAGGCACCTCCCGACGGGAAAACACCGCCCCCCGCAGGGCACCTCGGCAGCAGCAGAGGTGAAAAAGGGCGGGTCGAAGAGTACGAGGCCGACTGCAGGGGACGGGGCTGAGAGCACGGTCACGCGCGCCAGAGTGGTTTCGTGACAAAAAAAGCTGTACCAAAAACTGTAAAAACAAAAAAAAAAAAAAAAGCTGTACCAAAACCTGTACCAAAACTGTAAAAACAAAAAAAGCTGTACCAAACTGTAAAAAAAAACTGTACCCAACAAAAAAAAAAGCTCGTGGCCGCCTGGACCCACAAACTGCAGCCAGCATCGGGGCGAGAGCACCACGCCCGAGCAGATCGTGGGGAGATCTCGGGCCGTCGGCTCTATGGGACAGGGGTGAGAGCACGGCCATGCGCAGCAGTGACCTTGCTCCAGAAAAGGTCGTGGCCGCCTGGACCGAACATGTAGCGTACAGTCAACCAGCATAGCAAGGATGCGCGATGAGGAGGAAAGGGCCTTGGACGCCCATGGCGAAGCTCTTCGAGCGGGGCGCGACCAGCGAAAGCGGCGAAGGATGGACCGAGGAGGCCAGGATGCAAGGGTACCCTTGGGAAGCTTGCCCATGCTTACTATGCGGGTTGACTGTAGCCAACGTCGAGGCGAGAGCACGAGGCCCGGATAGACCGTGAGGGAATCTCGGGCCACAAGAGGCTGCCGGACCGCCTGCCTGACTGGGCGGCCTCCGGCTCCCCATCCATCCCCGCTGTGGTGCTCACAGGGGCGAGTGCACGGCCATGTGCACGTTAGGGTTGTTACAAAGAAGGGCCGTGGCCTTTTGTACCAAAAATGTAGCCTGCATTGAGGCGAGAGCACGATTCCTGACTAGATTGTGAGGAAATCCGCCGACCCCTTGGGGTTCATCGGCGTGTGAGCTGTTCCCCCCTCCTCAAACCTCTCCCCCGGGAGCCTGGTCGATTTGCAGGGGGGATCCCCCGGGAACCGGCCGAACGCATCACCGGGGGGGCAGAGGGCTCCCCAAGAGCCCCTCCGGAAGGTCCAAGAGAGCCACAAGCCGCTGGCCTCGGCCCAAGAGGCCCCCAAAGACGTCCCAAAAAACCCTCAAGAGGCGTCCCAAGACGGCCACAAGGAGCAAAGATCGCCCCATTCCTATAGGAAACGTGCTTAGCACATCTGCCGCTTGTACGCTCACAACGTCCAAGACAGCCCAAGAAGACTCCTGGATCGCCGCCAAAGAGGCCCCCAACAGGGCTCCCAGACCACCCAAGAGGGCCCCAAGGCCGCTCCAGAAGCCCGAGGACAGCCCCAAGAAGGGGCCCAGTAGGGGAACCCGAATGGACATTTCGAGCCTTCGACCCCAAGCCACCCCTCGGCTGCCCCAAGAAGCCCCCCAACAGGCTCCCAGAGCTCCGAGAGGCCTGAAACAAGCTCCCAAGAGGCCTCCAGGAGGCCCCCAAGCGGGTCGAAAACTGCTCTCCAAACGCCCCCGAGACGCCTCCCACGAGGCCCCGTCTGCCATCCGCGTGGCCTCAGACCCGCAGCCCACAGTGCCCCAAGAAGCCCCCAAAAGGCGCCCAAGAGGCCCGCAGGAGCAACACGCGACGACCGACAGCCGCCAGTCCCCAAAGGGGTTGGCGGTGTGGCGCAGGCCTAAGAATCTCGGGCGAAGCGGCTCCTGGACTGGACGATCTCGGGCGGGCGGTCGCGAGCTCCCGTCCACACAGTGCGACTCTGCTGTGGTCCTTGTTGCCTCTCTTCGAACCCTTTGGCGAAACGCTATGAGGGAAACATCAAGAGGGAAACAAAGAAGGGCCCAAGAGGTCCTTTGTACCTCTCTTCGAACCTGTAGCGAAACTCGATGAGAGGAACATCAACAGGGCCCCAAGAAGGGCCCAAGAGAGGCCGAAGAGGGGCAACCCGCAGGGACTCCGGGAGCTATCCCCCGCAAGACCGACCCCAAGACCCCCCATGCCACAACACGCTCGGATGCCTCGGGCGCCGCGGCTCTCTCAGAGCGTTCCAGACCGCTCTGAGAGAGTAGCGGCTGCTCCAAAGCTTCTGGAGCGCTCCGGCGCTCCATCCTCGGCCTGCCTGCCCTCTCCCTATCTGCGCTCGAGATGCTCGGGAGGGGTCGCACGCGCAGAGCTGGCAACGGGCAATGAACCCCGGGCAGGATCAGACAGCACCGAATCGGGAAATCGGATCGACCAAAGCGTGCGTCGGATCGGACCGCATCGGCACTCAGCCGCATTCGAAACGGATCGGCTGCACCAGGGTGCACGACAGCGCCATGCGAGCATCGGACCGCATCGGATCGATGGGAAGTCGAAATCGAATCGGCTCGAAATGCTCGGTGGCAACTCATGGGAGCCTCCAATACCATCTTGTCGGCTCTTGCGAACCGACGCTAGTCGACGCTAAATCGGCGCTAAATCGACGCTAATCGACGCCAATCGGCGCTAACCGACGCGAAATCGACGCTATCACATCGACTCCCAGACACCAATCAACGCTAACCGACGCTAAAGACAGAACTGCGAGGGTACACAAGGCCCCCATGATTTGTTGCCGAAGACATGGCCGAAACCGGTATCACATCGGACCGATCGGATCGAAAATGGATTGGGTGTCCGCCCGCCCCCTACATAGCACGGAAAAGGTGAAGCCATTCGATCACTGACGTAGGAAGCCGCTCGAAACAGATTGGAATCTGGGAATCCAAAGATACTCCAAATCCGTTATTCATCGTCCCCCGGTTTCGGTTTTTTAAGGCGCCCTTTTTGCAACTGGGCGAGGCCGGTTTATTAGGGCGCTTTCCGTGGATTCGAGCTCAGGGGGTCCGGTGTATCAAGGCGCCCCGGGGTCCGGAATATTCGGTCGCCTTTGGAGGGGGGTCGGGTTTTTTAGGGGGGGTCAATTACTAAGGGATTTGGAGTACCCAGACATGCGACGTCCTGAGTTTTTTCAGGACAGCGTCCCTGAAGTCCCGACCCTTTCCCCGGGGCCCGGCGAGGGTCCCCTGGGGCCGAAAACAATGAAAAACTTGCCGTCCCGATTTCTTTTTACGACGCGAGCATGTCTGGGCACCTACTTTTTCAACGACCGAGGGGCACCGCAACGGACCGATCGCATCGCACCTGCGCCCTGCCTGGGCGGAGCTGTCCCCCAGGCAGGCGTTCCCTGCAGGGGCGAGCGGGTGTCCGCCCGCCCCCCTTACACAGGACGGAAAAGGTGAAGCCGCTCGATCACTCAAATGGGAAGCCGCTCGAAGCAAAGATTGGAATCCGGAACCCCCAAAGAAACCTACTCCAGATTTCGTAATAAAGGGAGCGGGGTCTCATTTCGGGGGGGGTCTCTTCCAGGCTATCTTGGAGGGCCTGGGGGGCTGGGGACGATGTTTTGGAGGGTTCTCCCACGGGGGAGGTCTGAAATGGCTTGTCTTGGAGGGTCCAGACCCCCTCCCTTTTTATTACGAAATCTGGAGTACTTTTTCAACCACCGATGGGCACCGCAGCGGACCGATCGCATCGAACCTGCGCCCTGCCCTGGCGGAGCTGTCCCCCGGGGGCAGACGTCCCAGGCAGCAGGGGCGCGCGCCGGGGGAGCGGGGCGCGCGCGGCTCCTGGAGCTGCCGGAGTCGCTGCTCCCGCCGGCGCCGCCGTCGGCCCTGCGCGCGCCAGGCTTACGCACTCGACCGGGATAGTAATGGCCTCGGAAGGCCATGTGGACGTTTTCCGTGCGGAGCGCAGCAAGATACCGAAGGATGCGAAATACCGAAGTGGCAAGGATGCCTTATCCTTACTATCATGGTTGACTGGTCGGGCAGGTCCCCCTACAGGCGGAGCATGGATGGAAAATATGGAATGTAACAGAAAAGTGTTTCAAAGTAGCCCAAACATAGCAGCACCATCGTCCCCAGACTATTGTTCGACGGTTTCTGAATCTTCCTCCTGTAGAGGGACAGGCCCGACTTAACGCCAGGCGAGGGGGGGTCGCCGTCGCCGACGTCGGCGTCGCCCAAGACGAAGCCAGGACGAAAAGGAAGCCGGGTGGGGATAAATCGAGAATCTCTGGAGTCTGGCGGCGCTGGAATATGTCTCGGGCGTCGGGACGCTCTGAGA